GAAATTTTAGAAATATCTCTCTCGTCCACGTACTTTGTAAATTTAAGTTCAGCCTTCACGAATGCCTAGGTCTCACATACGGCCACGTAAAATTTTAAAGGCAGAAATTACTAACTCTGGAAATTCAGAGGTCAAAAAGCTGAAATGTTAAGGGGGTGTTCAGTGTCTGTGTGTAACCCAAATATTTCAAACCAAGCTCTCATGTGTATCTAGGTTTCGCGTGCGGACATATGAAATAAAAATTGCTAATTGAAAAAATAGGAAGTAAAAGAAAAAGAAAGAAAAAGGAAGCTACAATTTAATGTGATGTTACGGGCTCATGTGCGACACAAAAAACTGTAACAGTATCCACGTGCATCTACATTTCATGTATGAAACACGTGCATTTCGGGGGAAATTTCTCAATTCGGGACCAGACAAGGCAAAAAGCCGAAATTTCAAGATGTCTCTTGTCGATAGGCGATTTCAGAAATTGTAGATTGAGCTTTCACATACAGAGAAGTGTAAATTCTGGCCAGACGGAATATTCCGACGATTTTTGCATATACCAAGCAGCAAAACATTGAACCTTCAGAGCGACACCAGCTGCCCTGATGCGCTCCATTATGTATCTGCATTATGTTAGCAAATAAAATAAGCGGTATTTTTTTCAGACGTGGGTGATTGTTGTGTTGGCGGTGATTGCTGTAGTCATCCTAGCATCGTTTGTCCTCTCAATCCTTCGCTGCTTGTTCTGCCGGCGTTGATCCTATTGCTCGTCCATTTACCCGATTTATGATTATTACCTTCGTAAAAAAGTGAGCGTACCCATTCAGAATATCCCAATGCAGATTTCTCTGCATTAGTCTTTTTTTTTTTTTTTTTAAATCTGCAGATTAGCCAGCTACTATTTAAAATAAGCACACAAACTGTGAAGAGGAAATCTTCACACCAGTGCCGCCTTCTTGGCATACATGCTGTTGATTAGTCGAAACGAATGCTACAGCGCCTGAGAGCATATCGTCTGCGTAGCTGCCGAAAATTGCACTTATCCTGAATTCGAAGCTTCGTGCATTGATTTTCTATTGGAAACCGCTTGTTTCCATGTCTTTTCCAAGCCTGTTTTGCCCTCATTTTTTGTTTAAATCTATTTTTGTGTCGTTTATCGACAAATTTCACTAAATAGCGACAGTTGCGGCATTCCAATGCTGCGAAATGAAAAAGCACGGAACGAGAAAACGAGTGTCTGTGTATCGGTGCAGCAATTATTATTGTCGAATTATGCAATCAGACGTATCATATTCGATGTTATCACTGTCACTGTACATACTGGTGCACTCTTGGTTCGACCATTTTCCTTCCCAAGTTTCTTTGCTTTGAAGTTCTCTGGA